CGTGTGTGTGTGTGTGTACGTGTGTGTGTGTGTACGTGTGTGTGTGTACGTGTATGTGTGTACGTGTGTGTATGTACGTGTGTGTGTGTGTGTACGTGTGTGTGTGTACGTGTGTGTGTGTACGTGTGTGTGTGTGTGTGTACGTGTGTGTGTGTCACTGTGTACGTGTGTGTGTACGTGTGTGTGTGTACGTGTGTGTGTGTGTGTACGTGTGTGTGTGTGTACGTGTGTGTGTGTGTACGTGTGTGTGTGTGTACGAGTGTGTGTACGTGTGTGTGTGTGTACGTGTGTGTGTGTGTGTACGAGTGTGTGTGTACGTGTGTGTGTGTACGTGTGTGTGTACGTGTGTGTGTGTGTGTACGTGTGTGTGTACGTGTGTGTGTGTACGTGTGTGTGTACGTGTGTGTGTACGTGTGTGTGTGTGTGTACGAGTGTGTGTGTACGTGTGTGTGTGTACGTGTGTGTGTACGTGTGTGTGTACGTGTGTGTGTGTGTACGTGTGTGTGTACGTGTGTGTGTGTACGTGTGTGTGTGTACGTGTGTGTGTGTGTACGTGTGTGTGTGTACGTGTGTGTGTACGTGTGTGTGTGTGTACGTGTGTGTGTACGTGTGTGTGTGTGTACGTGTGTGTGTGTGTACGTGTGTGTGTGTGTACGTGTGTGTGTGTATGTGTACGTGTGTGTGTACGTGTGTGTGTGTGTGTACGTGTGTGTGTGTATGTGTGTGTACGTGTGTGTGTACGTGTGTGTGTACGTGTGTGTGTGTACGTGTGTACGTGTGTGTGTGTACGTGTGTGTGTGTACGTGTGTGTGTGCACGTGTGTGTGTGTGTACGTGTGTGTGTGTGTGTACGTGTGTGTACGTGTGTGTGTGTGTACGTGTGTGTGTGTGTGTGTACGTGTGTGTGTGTACGTGTGTGTGTGTGTACGTGTGTGTGTGTGCACGTATGTGTGTGTACGTGTGTGTGTGTGTGTGTACGTGTGTGTGTGTACGTGTGTGTGTGTGTACGTGTGTGTGTGTGTACGTGTGTGTGTGTACGTGTGTGTGTGTGTGTACGCGGTCCGGCAAAACAACCCCCTACCTCCTCGCGGTGCCGGACGGGCAACTCTGTCGTGGACAGTGCTGTGGGGGGAGATCCAATTTTGATTGGCTCCTCCCCTCATGGCATATGTGTCCACCACAGGGGCTAAACGGGGGCTCTGGACGGGTGCGAGGGGCTGGTAACCCCTCCACCTTCAATTAATTACCACGAAACCACGAGTTAAACTGAAATATGTAACTAATAAGCTTGTGTCGGAGGCCCCGGGGGGCCAGGCGTCTATGACGTCTCCTGGCCAAACCCCAATTGGCGGAGCCAGGAGATTGAATACCTACCCTCGGGGCTACTCCAGAAACAACGAAAAGCCACTATGGGTGGCCACGTGGAATGTTCGAACGCTCACTGCGGAGGAGAGGCTGCCACTCCTCTGTCGGGAGCTGGACCGGTACCGCCTGGATCTATGCGGCATTCAGGAGGTCAGGTGGACCGGCTCTGGCTCCTGCCACCATGAGGGGTGGACAGTCCTCTACTCGGGGCAGCAGACTGCCAAACAACAGGGTGTGGCTCTTCTTTTGAAAAAAAGAATGAAGGGGGCATGGGAGCGTGGCGGTGAGGTGTGGGAAGCTGTAAGCCCCAGGCTACTTTGGGCTCGCCTTCCCATCAATCGGAGGTGAGGAATGGTGGTCATGGTTACTTATGCCCCCACCGAAGATGAACATCCGTGGAGGGATGCAGGCAAGGCCGATGAGTCAGATGCCTTCTATGACCTCGTGTCACAGGTGCTGGCTAAAGTGGCCCCTTGGGATAGAGTCATCTTGTTGGGTGACTTCAATGCCCGAGTTGGTCATAATGCTGGCACCTGGTCTGGAGTGATTGGAGGGCATGGGCGAGATCAGCTCAATAACAACGGTAGGAGGCTGCTAGATTTTTGTGCAGTCCATGGGCTTGTAATTACCAACACGCTGTTCCGGCATCGGCGAATCCACACAACATCATGGATGCATGCCGGGTCCAAGCAAGAACATCTGCTGGACTACATAGTGACGGACCAGTGGATGCGAGCCCATGTCCTTGACACCAGGACCTACCGTGGAGCTGATCTGCCCTCTGACCATCGAATAGTCATCTGTAAAATGCGCCTGCCATTCTTCCACTCCGGTGGTGGGTGTACACCCAGGACCCCATTCCAACCTAAAGTGGCCTGGTCTCAGTTATCTGATGAAAGTTGCAAGCGAGAATTTCATCATCGCTTGTGGCTGGGATTGGCATCGTTCCCGACTCCTCCTGATGTCGAGGGTAAATGGGCGAGGTTTAGGACTGTGACTCATGCAGCTGCAATGGCTGCTTTGGGTACGCGGTCCAGACCTCCCCAGAGACCCTGGCTGACAGAGGAGGTGTTCAGAATGGTTGAGAAAAAGCGACAGGCCCACTGTCATCGGCTACAGAATCCCACGTCAGAGAATGAGAAGGCTTACCGCAGCCTTCGCTCGGAGGTTCGGAGAGCCATGAGGCGCTGCAAGGATGGGTGGTGGTCGCGGGTTGCTGAGGAGATGGAGTCTGCCTCAGTGGGCCGTGATCACAAGTCTCTATTTAACTCCATCAAAAAAGTAACCTGCAGCGCCACACCTATTACCATCATTAGGGGAAAAAACGGTGATCCAATCTCCGATTCCCAGGAACAGGTTTGCAGATTTGCTGAGCATTTCTGTGAGGTCCTGGGGGAGGGAAAATCCCTCAGCCAGGAAAACATCGTGGCACAAAGTGAGGATGACCCTGCTGAGGCTGCGGTGCCTCAAATATTGGAAGAAGTCCCCCCTGTGAGTGGCTGGCTGAGGTGCCATCTGTTGAGGAAGTACTGAAGGCGATCCGGAGTCTGAGACCAGGAAAGGCAGCAGGCAGAGATGATCTCCCAAGCGAAATGCTGAGGGAGGTTGGCGTTCGTGCACATACTGCCCTATATGACATCAAAACAACATTCTGGACCACTGGACAGGTTCCGCAGGATTGGAAAGATGCCCCGGTGGTCTTCCTTTTTAAGAAGGGGGACCGCACAGACTGTAACAACTACAGGGGCATCTCACTCCTCAGTGTGCCAGGAAAGGTCCTGGCACGGATTATTCAGCATCGCCTTGCAAGGCACGCTGACGAGAGGCTTGCGGAGCCGCAATGCGGTTTCAGGAAAGGGCGGTCCTGCACAGATGCCATATTGTCTGTCCGTCTGCTACAGCAGAGGTGTAGGGAATTCCAACAAGACCTACATCTCTGCTTTATTGACCTGGTCAAGGCCTATGATACCATCAGTAGGCCTGGGCTCTGGGTTGTTCTTCGTTCTTTTGGAGTCCCTGACCCTCTGCTCACGATCATTAAGGACCTTCATGATGGTGAGCGGGCCTGGGTAAAACTACGTGGCCGGGAGTCGGAGCCATTCCCTGTTAACCTTGGGGTGCGACAGGGCTAATCGATGCCCGGGTGCGGTCAAGGGATGGCTCCCTATTGCTCAACCACGTTATGTATGCTGATGATTTGGTAATAGCTGCTCAGTCAGAGGAGGAGTTGGAGACGCTGCTGCTGAGACTGGAGCGTGCCAGTAAGAGGTGGGGCCTTACCATCAGCCCCACCAAAACTAAGCACCTGCCTGGGTATTTTGTACCATCGGACACTCCACCCCCACAACTCCCAATCGGTGATGGGGCAGTTGTGGAGAGAGTGGAGAGTTTCCCATACCTGGGCAGTGTGCTTATGACTGGCTCCAGTTTAACAGCAGAGGTCTCACTCCGAATCAGTCGAGCGGCAATATCTTTTCATCGGTTGCGTAACGCTGTGTGGAAGCTACCTGGTCTGTCGCTCCGCACTAAGCTTCAGGTCTTCTCGGCCACGGTCATTCCCTCCCTTCTCTACGCTTGCGAAACGTGGACCCCCCTAATGGAACATCTTCGCCGGTTAGAAAAATTTAGGCTGGCCTGCCTACGATCCATCCTGGGTTTAACCAGACTGGATTGTGTGAGGAGCTCACAAATCCTTGAAAGATCTGGGCACGGTCCCATCGGTGAGCTCCTCTGGCAGGCAAGGCTGCGTTGGCTGGGTCATGTAGCCCGCATGCCCAGCCACCGCATGCCAAAACAGATTTTGTTCGGCCAGATCGAGGGGGCTAAACGGGCGCGGCACGGGCTAGAGAAGAGATGGAGTGATGTGGTACAGGAGGACGTGGAGCTGAGTGGACTTGCCGATGACTGGTACCAGCGGTGTCAAGATCGGCCTCTGTGGAGGAGGCTCGTGAAGGACGATACTGGGCAGTTGGAGGTAGTCCCCCTCCAATAACAACGGAGGGCGGAGGAGCGACGCTCACAACAACGAGCGGAGCGCCGGGTGGCTAAAGCACAGCAGGTTGGCACAGTAGGGGGCACAGGTGGTGCATCAGCCAGTCATCTCAGTTATCTCAGTCAGTCGACCCGTGGCACCTGGGTCTGCCCCGTGACCTCCTGCCAACGGGCGTTCGACACTCCACGTGGCCGCAAGGTGCACATGGCCTGGCACAAGCGTCGTGGTGACGTCACCGCCACTTAGTGGTGAATGGCGGTTGTTGTTGTTGTGTGTACGTGTGTGTGTACATGTGTGTATGTACGTGTGTGTGTACGTGTGTGTGCGTACTTGTGTGTGCGTACGTGTGTGTGCGTACGTGTGTGTGCGTACGTGTGTGTGCGTACGTGCGTGTGCATACGTGTGTGTACGTGTGTGTGTACGTGTGTGTACGTGTGTGTGCGTACGTGTGTGTGTGTACGTGTGTGTGTGTACGTGTGTGTGCGTACGTGTGCGTACGTGTGTGCGTGTGTGTACGTGTGTGTGCATAACGTGAGTGCACGTGTGTGTGTACGTGTGTGTGTGTGTACGTGTGTGTGTGTACGTGTGTGTGTGTACGTGTGTGTAACGTGAGTGCACACACACTGCGTGCACTCTGCCCATACCTTAAGGCGCTTGCGCTTGGCAGCTTTACCGCAGCCATCATCACGGCCGCCACCACCACCGCCACCACCACCGTCACCACCGTAACCATCCTCTTCCTCCTCCCCCTCCTGTTCGTCGTCATCGTCGTCATCGTGGTCGTCATGGTAACACCCCTCCTGTCCGCCGGGCGCCTCCATCGGTACCCGCAGGTTCCTGGGTGCAGCAGCAGCATCAGTAGATATCATCATCAGTATCATCACGGTGGCTATGAGATGTTAACTACCTCGCCTGGTATACAGGAGGTCTGTGTCTCTCTCTCATCATCATCATCACGGTGGCTATGAGATGTTAACTACCTCGCCTGGTCTACAGGAGGTCTGTGTCTCTCTCATCATCATCATCATCATCACGGTGGCTGTGAGATGTTGACTACCTCGCCTTGTACACAGGAGGTCTGTGTCTCTCTCTCTCATCATCATCATCACGGTGGCTATGAGATGTTGACTACCTCGCCTGGTCTACAGGAGGTCTGTCTCTCTCTCTTATCATCATCACGGTGGCTATGAGATGTTAACTACCTCGCCTGGTATACAGGAGGTCTGTGTCTCTCTCTCATCATTGTCATCATCACGGTGGCTAGGCGATGTTGACTACCTCCGCCTGGTCTACTGGAGGTCTGTGACTCTCTCATCATCATCACGGTGGCTATGAGATGTTAACTACCTCGCCTGGTCTACAGGAGGGATGTGTCTCTCTCATCATCATCATCATCACGGTGGCTATGAGATGTTAACTACCTCGCCTGATCTACAGGAGGTCTGTGTCTCTCTCTCATCATCATCATCACGGTGGCTATGAGATGTTAACTACCTCGCCTGGTCTACAGGAGGTCTGTCTCTCTCTCTCATCATCATCATCATCACGGTGGCTAGGAGATGTTGGCTACCTCGCCTGGTCCACAGGAGGTGGTGGGTTCGATCCAGACCCTAAGGACGCCTGCTGCTGTAGATTTGGAGTTTTCATCATGATCATCATCATCATCATCATGAAGACAATGATGATGCTCGTGATGATGACCATGATGATCATCATCATCATCATCACGATTATCGTGATGATGATGATCATGATGATGCTCGTGATGATGAACATGATGGTGATGATGATGATGCTCGTGATGGTGACCGTGGTGATGATCACAATCACGATGACCATCACGATTATCGTGATGATGACGACCACGACGACGACGACGACGATCATGACCGTGACCGCGACCAGCGGGGCCCCCCTCTCACCGCAGCCCCATGGCGTCCTGCCCCAGCGGCTCCCTCCGCGTCTTCTTCTGCGGCCCGTGGCCGCCGAGCAGGAAGCCGTCGGGAAGCCACAGAGCTCCGTGCTCCTTGCGCCGCCGCTTGCCGTGCAGGAGCACCCCGGCCGCCACCAGCGCCAGCGCCAGCGCCAGGCCGAGGCCCACGGCCGCGTACAGAAGCGTCGGGGCCTCCTCGGCGTCGCCCTCCGCTCCTGGACAAGACGGCGGAATGCCCCCTCGGTTTTCTTTTTTTTTTTTTGGCCACCGTGTCACAAGCGGAGACCCGCGAGGGGCCCATCCGGGGGAGGCCCCTCGCGTAGCGGGCGGCCTCCGGGGGAGGCCCCTCGCGTAGCGGGCGGGCAGCACCGACGAAGGGGCTTCCGGGAGGTGGTTATGTTTGGCGAAGTCGGTTGGGCGGGCGGGCGGGTTTTGGTGATTGGGCGGTTTGGTGGGTGAACTGGTGGGTGGGTGAGTGGGTGGGTGAGTAGGCGGGCGACTTGGTGATTGAGCGGTTCGATGGGTGAACGGGTTGATGGGTGAGCGAGTGGGTGGGTGAGTGGGTGGGTGGTTAGGTGGGTGGGTGAGTGGGTGGGTGGGTAGGTGGGTGAGTGGGTGGGTGAGTGGGTGGGTGGGTAGGTGGGTGGGTGAGTGGGTGGGTGGGTGAGTAGGTGGGTGAGTGGGTGGGTGAACGGGTGGGTGAGTGGGTGGGTGAGTGGGTGAGTGGGTGGGTGGATGAACGGGTGGGTGGATGAACGGATGGGTGAGTGGGTGGGTGAACGGGTGGGTGAGTAGGTGGGTGAACGGGTGGGTGAGTGGGTGGGTGAGTGGTTGGGTGGGTGAACGGGTGGGTGAGGGGGTGGGTGAGTAGGTGGGTGGGTGAACGGGTTGGTGAGTGTGTGGGTGGGTGAGTGTGTGGGTGGGTGAATGGGTGGGTGGGTGAATGGGTGGGTGGGAGAACAGGTGGGTGAATTGGTGGGTGAGTGGGTGGGTGGGTGAACGGGTGGGTGAGTGGGTGGGTGAGTGGTTGGGTGGGTGAACGGGTGGGTGAGCGGGTGGGTGAGTAGGTGGGTGGGTGAACGGGTTGGTGAGTGTGTGGGTGGGTGAGTGTGTGGGTGGGTGAATGGGTGGGTGGGTGAATGGGTGGGTGGGAGAACAGGTGGGTGAACTGGTGGGTGAGTGGGTGGGTGAGTGAACGGGTGGGTGAACTGGTGGGTGAGTGGGTGGGTGGGTGAACGGGTGGGTGAACGGGTGGGTGAGTGGGTGGGTGAACGGGTGGGTGAACGGGTGGGTGAGTGGGTGGGTGAGTGGGTGGGTGGGTGAACGGGTGGGTGAGTGGGTGGCTGACGGTGGTGGTGGTAGTGAGCCCTCCCTCCCTCCCCACCCGCCCCCTCCCCCTACGCACCGTCACTGTAGACGGCAATGAGTGGGTAGGCCATGTGGACCAGCGACACCTCCTGCGCCGCCAGAAACGCGGCGGCCGCGTCGGCGCTGGGCAGGCAAACGTTGAGGCAGCGCTGCTCAAACAGCTCGAGGTGAACCTCCGAGCTGGGGGGGGAGGGGGGTGGGGGGGGGAGGGGGGGGAGGGGGTGGGGGGGAGGAGTGAAACGGAGCTCCCCGCGGCTCGTTTGGTTTCGCGGGAAGGCGAAGCCGCTGCTGACGAGTCAACGGGGCGGCGAAACCGGGACCGGAATGTCGCTCGCGACCCTCGGCCGTCGGTTCGAGCGAGCCTGGCCGGGCTGCTGACGAGAGACTGAAGGTCGAAACACCAGCCCAGAATACAGGAATAGGTTTTTACCCCTTTTAACCGGCACAAAAACTGACACCTTTGTTCAAGGCATCGTGTTTGCAATAACCACAACACAAGCAGTCAAAATGCAAACAAAAAAGACAACTCTGATAATAATATTATGCACCGTCCTTGAATTTGATTGGTCCACACCCGAGACGGCTTTTCTTAGAGCCCTTTAGTCTCCATTGGTGTTGGACCAGAAGACGCCAAAAGGTGTACAACTCAAAAACAGCACACTATCAGAGTACTGAGGGCTCGGGGTGAGCATTTACATTATGAGACCTCCTTTGCCAATAACAACATATAGGAATAGGTTTTACCCTTTTAACTGGCACACAAACTGACACCTTTATTCAAGGCATCGTGTTTGCAATAACCACAACACAAGCAGTCAAAATGCAAAGAAAAGAGGCAACTCTGATAATAATATTATGCACTTGTCCTTGAATTTGATTTGTCCACACCCAAGACGGCTTTTCTTAGAGCCTAGTCTCCACTGGTGTTGGACCAAAGGAGATCTCAAAATGTAAAAAAACCAGCCCAGAATGTCGCTGGCGGCCTCGGCCGTCGGTTCGAGCGAGCCTGGCCGGGCTGCTGACGAGGGACTGAAGGTCGAACACCAGCCCCAGGAGCTGCTGACGAGGCACCGAACCGGCGAAACCGCCTTTGCCACCTTCCTCACCCCAGGGGCTTTTCCTCCTCCTCCTGGCGGCTGTGGCGACGCTGGCGCTGCCCCTGCTGCTGCTGCTCCTGCTGCTGCTGCTGCCCCTGCTGCTGCTGCCGCCCCTGCTGCTGCTCCTGCTGCTGCCCCTGCTGCTGCTGCCCCTGCTGCCCCGGCGGCGAGCGTGCCCGGCGTGTTGCAGCGGCAGCGCCGTAGAAGGGCAGCACCATGAGGCGTCCGTCGCGGTCCCTCCGGACGCGCACCGTCAGCAGCAGAACCTCGCCCAGCTGCTGCACGAAGCGCCCAACCACTCCCAGGAACTCGTCTGTCACGGGGGGAGTAGAGAAGGGAGAGGGGGGGGGGAAGGGGGAGGGGTAGGAGAGAGAGGGAGGGGCAAGGCGAGAGGGGAAGGAGGGGCAAGGCGAGAGGGGGAGGGGCAAGGCGAGATGGGGAGGGGCAAGGCGAGATGGGGAGGGGCAAGGCGAGAGGGGGAGGGGCAAGGCGAGAGGGGGAGGGGCAAGGAGAGAGGGGGAGGGGCAAGGCGAGACAGGGAGGGGCAAGGCGAGATGGGGAGGGGCAAGGAGAGAGGGGGAGGGGCAAGGAGAGGGGGGGAGGGGCAAGGAGAGAGGGGGAGGGGCAAGGATAAAGAGGGAGGGGCCAATGAGAGAGGGGGAGGGGCAAGGCGAGAGGGGGAGGGGCCAAGGCGAGAGGGGGAGGGGCCAAGGCGAGAGGGGCCAAGGAGAGAGGGGGCGGAGCAAGGCGAGAGGGGTGATGATGATGATGCTGACGCTGACAAGCCACGTGGTAGAGCTGCTGTAATTGGTGATGGCCAGGGTGAGGCCTTCTGAACACACAGAGAGAGCGAGAGAGAGAGAGAAAGCTACACAGCAGCTCACATGCCCCCCCCCCCCCCATTGGACTGCACTCTCACCGTGCGAATCTCCCGTCGACACCGCTGGCTGTCGTGGGCACATGCGGGCACGGCACTCTTTCAGCGGCGGCGGATGCTCGCTCATGCGAATGCCTCCCTCCCTGATCCCTCTCTCGCCTAATCTCCCACGGGCACAGCTGACCCACGCTGCTTGCGTCCCCGGGGGGGTGGAATTCCTTTCCAGCTCAGACCCACCCCACCCCACCCCGCCCCGCCCCGCCCCGCCCCGCCTGCTTGCCCATCGCCACGTATACAGCCTCCTGGATCCGACTTTCTCCACCCGCACCGACCGCGCCTGAGCACGAGCCGCCGTCGCGCTGTCGACCGGAGCGTCGTGGTTTAGTTTCTGCCGGAACCCCCGCGTGCCGGCTTCAACCGAAGGAACCGCGGAGCGAAGGGCAGATGGGCGAAGTGGAAAAAAAAACAAAAATAAAAAAAGCCACGTGGCTTCGGCGACTCGCGGCGAAGGCGGCGAAGGCGGCGAAGGCGAAGGCGGTGGCGAAGGCGGTGGCGAAGGCGGTGGTGAAGGCGGTGGCGAAGGCGGTGGTGAAGGCGGTGGTGAAGGCGGCAGTGGCGAAGGCTACCCCCCCGACCTCTGACCTCCGCGAGCGAGCGCCCCGTGGCACCCACCTGGTGGCAGGCGCACCACCACGACGAGCGAGCCGGCCAGCGGGCGCCCTCGGGCACAGTCGCCGCCGTCCCAGCCGCACTCGCCGCTGTTGCAGCCCTCGTCACAGTCGCCGTCGGCCGCGTGGTCCTCGCAGTACTGGGCGTACAGGGGGCTGGCGGGGTGTGGGGGAGGGGTGTGGTGTGGGGGAGGGGAGGGGTGGGGTGGGGGAGGGGCGTGGTGTGGGGGAGGGGAGGGGTGTGGGGGAGGGGTGTGGGGGAGGGGCGTGGTGTGGGGAAGGGGCGTGGTGTGGGGGAGGGGCGTGGTGTGGGGGAGGGGCGTGGTGTGGGGGAGGGGCGTGGGGTGGGGGAGGGGCGTGGTGTGGGGGAGGGGCGTGGTGTGGGGGAGGGGCGTGGTGTGGGGGAGGGGCGTGGTGTGGGGTAGGGGCGTGGTGTGGGGGAGACGCGTGGTATGGGGAGGGGCGTGGGGGAGGGGGCGTGGTGTGGGGGTGGGGTGGGGCGTGGTGTGGGGGCGGGGCGTGGAGACAAGAGTGAGTCACTGTCAACCGTGTTCAGGTTGATGGTGGTTCAGGTTGATGGTGATTCGTGGTGATGGTGGTTCGTGGTGATGGTGGTTCGTGGTGATGGTGGTTCTGGGTGATGGTGGTGATGGTGGTTCGTGGTGATGGTGGTGATGGTTGTTCGTGGTGATGGTGGTTCACCACCACCACCACCTCTGTCACCGCCATCACCATCACCACCGGAGTGTCCCTCACTTGCACGCCTGTGCCCCGCCACCTCCACCACCACCTCCTCCTCCTCCTCCTCCTCCTCCTCCTCCTCCTCCTCCGCGCCCGTTGCAGTCGAAGCCGTCGAAGAGGCACCCGGCGCCGGCGCAGCGCCGGTCGCAGCGCCCGTCCCCGAACACGCGCCAGCACGCCGCCGCCCCGGGGCAGTTGCGCCACGGGTTGCGGTAGCGCAGGGAGCAGTCCCCGCCGTCCCACTCGCACTCCCCCGAGTTGCACTCCCCGTCGCAGCGCCCGTCGCCCGCCCGGCCCGGGCACCCCGCGTCGGCGCAGCTTCGGTCGCCGACGCCGACGCCGACGCCGACGCCGCCGCCGACATCCTCGGCGGCGTCGGCATCGGCGGAGTCGGCGACGACGCGGTCACAGCGGGGGCCGGCGAAGGGCCGGCGGCACTCACAGCGGAAGAACGGCGCCCGCCGGAGCGGGCGGCACTGCCCCCCGTTGAGGCACGCGGAGCTGCCGGAGCTGCCGGAGCTGCCGGAGCCGCCGGAGCTGCCGGAGCTGCCGGAGCCGCCGGAGCCGCCGGAGCCGCGTGCCGTGCAGGGGTCGCGCTCGGCCAGCTGGCAGGCGACGCCGGCGAAGCCCGGCGGGCAGGAGCAGCGCGGGGGGGAGGACGGCGAGGGGCGGGAGCAGCGGCCGCCGTTCCGGCACTGCAGCCCGTCGCAGCGGCCCGCAGGGTCGTCGCACCAACGCCCCTCGAAGCCCTGGGGTGGAGCGGGGGGGTGGGGGGGGGGGAGGAGGGGAGGGGTGGCGCGTTGTGGGGGTGCGGTGGCGCGTTGTGGGGTGACGGGGCAGTGGGGGGGAGCATTGTGGGGCAGGGGGCTCTGCTGTGATGCATTGTAGGGGGGGGGGGCTCTGCCGCGATGCATTGTGGGACAGGGGGCTCTCCGCGTTGCATTGTGGGGGGCGGGGCTCTGCTGTGATGCATTGTGGGGGGGGGGGTCTCTGCCGTGGTGCATTGTGGGGGGGGGGGGGGCTCTGCCGCGATGCATTGTGGGGGAGGGGTCTCTGCCGAGGTGCATTGTGGGGGGGGGGGAGGGGTCTCTGCCGCGATGCATTGTGGGGGGGGAGGGGGTGTGCTCTGCCGCGATGCATTGTGGGGGGGAGGGGGCTCTGCCGCGATGCATTGTGGGGGGGAGGGGGTGTGCTCTGCCGCGATGCATTGTGGGGGAAGGGGGGGGGGTGTGCTCTGCCGAGGTGCTGTGCCGGTACCGGGGCGCAGTGGCAGGAGTATCCGAGGGGCGTGTTGGTGGTCACCGTGCACGTGGCTCCGTTGTGGCACGGGCGGTCGCGGCACGTGTCGACCACGCTCTCGCAGTAGCGGCCTGCGGGCGAGGACAAAGGCGGCGCCGCCACACCGCACGTTGGGGCCTTGAGGGACCGTTGGGGCAGGCGCTGCGTGGCGAGCGGCACCTACGGAGGCCGCCTTTGTCTCGCCCCGGTGCTGGCGATGTTCACTACGCTACGCCGCTACAGCAGGTACTCATTTGAGGCCGAGTCGACCTAGGGGGAGGCCCCAGGACCCGTCCGGATAATCGTCACCGGCGGTGTTGGCCGTGAGCGGGAATCGAACTCGGGTCGCCGGGTTCGTAGTGCAGCGTGGCGCTAACCGCTACACTACCGCTCCCCACACACAACTAACACACACACACACACACTAACACACACTAACACACACTAACACACACACACACTAACACACACAGAGTAACACAACAACAACAACCGCCATTCGCCACTAAGTGGCGGTGACGTCACCACGACGCTTGTGCCAGGCTATGTGCACCTTGAGGCCACGTGAAGTGTCGAACGCCCGCTGGCAGGAGGTCACGGGGCAGACCCAGCAGGTGCCACGGGTCGACTGACTGAGATGACTGGCTGATGCACCACCTGTGCCCCCTACTGTGCCAACCTGCTGTGCTTTAGCCACCCGGCGCTCCACTCGTTGTTCTGAGCGTCGCTCCTCCGCCCTCCTTTGTTGTTGGAGGGCGACTACCTCCAACTGCCCAGTAGCGTCCTTCACGAGCCTCCTCCACAGAGGCCGATCTTGACACCGCTGGTACCAGTCATCGGCAAGTCCACTCAGCTCCACGTCCTCCTGTACCACATCACTCCATGTCTTCTCTAGCCCGTGCCGCGCCCGCTTAGCCCCCTCAATCCGGACGAACAAAAGCTGTTTCGGCATGCGTTGGCTGGGCATGCGGGCTACATGACCCAGCCATCGCAGCCTTGCCCGCCGGAGGAGCTCACCGATGGGACCTTGCCCAGATCTTTCAAGGATTTGTGAGCTCCTCACACAATCCAGCCTGGTTAAACCCAGGATGGATCGTAGGCAGGCCAGCCTAAATGTTTCTAACCGGCGAAGATGTTCCATTAGGGGGGTCCACGTTTCGCAAGCGTAGAGAAGGGAGGGAATGACCGTGGCCGAGAAGACCTGAAGCTTAGTGCGGAGCGACAGACCAGGTCGCTTCCACACAGCGTTACGCAACCGATGAAAAGATAATGCTGCTCGACTGATTCGGAGTGAGACCTCTGCTGTCAAACAAGAGCCGCTCTTGAGCACACTGCCCAGGTATGGGAAACTCTCCACTCTCTCCACAACTGCCACATCACCAATTGGGAGTTGTAGGGGGGGGAATGTCCGATGGTACAAAATACCCAGGCAGGTGCTGAGTTTTGGTGGGGCTGATGGTAAGGCCCCACCTCTTGGTGGCACGCTCCAGTCTCAGCAGCAGCGTCTCCAACTCTTCCTCTGAAGGAGCAGCTATTACCAAATCATCGGCATACGTAACGTGGTTGAGCAACAGGGAGCCATCCCTTGACTGCACCTGGGCATCGATCAGCCGCCCATTGTATCTGTACCAGATGGAAATTCCTCCGGTGCTGCTATTGAAGGCTTCATGAACTACATGGTCAAAATAGATATTAAATAATGTGGGAGCCAGAGGACATCCCAGTCGCACCCCAAGGTGTACAGGGAATGGCTCCGACTCCCAGCCACGTAGTTTTACCCGGGCCCGCTCACCATCATGAAGATCCTTAATGATCGTGAGCAGAGGGTCAGGGACTCCGAAAGCACGAAGAACTACCCAGAGTCCAGGCCTACTGATGGTATCATAGGCCTTGACCAGGTCAATAAAGCAGAGATGTAGGTCTGCTGTAGCAGACGGACAGAAAATATGGCATCTGTGCAGGATCGCCATTTCCTAAATAATATTGGTGCTCCGCAAGCCTCTCCTCAGCGTGCCTGGCAAGGCAATGTTGAATAATCCTTGCCAGGACCTTTCCCGGCACACTGAGGAGTGACATGCCCCTGTAGTTGTTACAGTCTGTGCGGTCCCCCTTCTTAAAGAGGGGGACCACCAGGGCATCCTTCCAGTCCTGCAGAACCCGTCCATTCGTCCAGACTGTTATGATGTCATGTAGCGCAGTCTGTGCACAAACGTCACCATCTCTGCCTGGTGCCTTTCCTGGTCTGAGACTGTGGATCGCCTGCAGTACTTCCTCAACAGATGGCACCTCAGCCAGCCACTCACAGTATATATTTGAGGTACCGCAGCCTCAGCAAGATCATCCCCACTTTGTCCCACGTTATCCAGGCTGAGGAATGTCCCTTCCCCCAGGACCTCACAGAAATGCTCAGCAAATCTGCAAACCTGTTCCTGGGGGTCGGATATTGAATCACTGTTGTTTCCCCTAATGATGGCAATAGGTGTGGCACTGCAGGTTACTTTTTTGATGGAATTAAAGAGCGATTTGTGATCGCGGGCCACTGAGGCAGACTCCATCTCCTCAGCAACCCGCGACCACCACCCATCCTTGCAGCGCCTCACGGCTCTCCGAACCTCCGAGCGAAAGCTGAGGTAAGCCTCCTCATTCTCCGACGTGGGATGCTGTAGACGATTAGAGTGGGCCTGTCGCTTTTTCTCAGCCAATTTGAACACCTCCTCTATCAGCCAGGGTCTCTGGGGAGTTCTGGACCGCGTACCCAAAGCAGCCATTGCAGCTGAATGAGTCGCAGTCCTAAACCTCGCCCATTTACCCTCGACATCAGGAGGAGTGGGGGACGATGCCAACCCCAGCCGCAAGCGATGATGAAATTCTCGCTTGCAACTTTCATCAGCTAACTGAGACCAGGGCACTTTAGGTTTGAATGGGGTCCTGGGTGTACACCCATCACTGGAGTGGAAGAATGGCAGGGGCCACTTTAGCTAGCACCCACACACACTCACACACACTCACACACTCCCACACTCGCCGGTGTAGCGGTGCCCACTCACACACTCCCACACACACACTCACACCCACACTCACACACACTCACACACCCACTCACACACACTCACACACCCACTCACACACACTCACACACACACACTCACCGGTGTAGCGGTGCCCCCTCACACACTCCCACTCACACACACACTCACACACTCCCACACCCACACACACCCACACAAAGATAAAGGCAAAGATCCCCCGTATAGCCTTAACAGACTGTAGGGGCAAGTGCTGTTAGCGAGCACCTATGAAGGCCGTAACGGTACACGAGGGGGTGGGTGGCCAGCACCACGCCCGACCGCCTTTGTCTCCCCAGTGGCAATGTTTACACACCGCACCGGGTACTTATTTGAGGCTGAGTCGACCTAGGGGAGGCCCGGGACCGGTTCAGATAATCGTCACTGGTGTTGGCCGTGAGCGGGAATCGAACCCGGGTCGCCAGGTTCATAGCGCAGCGCGCTAACCGCTACACTACCGCTCCCCCGTCACACCCACACACTCACACACACACACTCACACACTCACACAACAACAACAACCGCCATTCGCCACTAAGTGGCGGTGACGTCACCACGACGCTTGTGCCAGGCTATGTGCACCGTGAGGCTACGTGAAGTGTCGAACGCCCGCTGGCAGGAGGTTACTGGGCAGACCCAGGTGCCACGGGTCGACTGACTGAGATGACTGGCTGATGCACCACCTGTGCCCCCTACTGTGCCAACCTGCTGTGCTTTAGCCACCCGGCGCTCCGCTCGTTGTTCTGAGCGTCGCTCCTCCGCCCTCCGTTGTTGTTGGAGGGCGACTGCCTCCAACTGCCCAGTAGCATCCTTCACGAGCCTCCTCCACAGAGGCCGATCTTGACACCGCTGGTACCAGTCATCGGCAAGTCCACTCAGCTCCACGTCCTCCTGTACCACATCACTCCATCTCTTCTCTAGCCCGTGCCGCGCCCGCTTAGCCTCCTCAATCCGGCCAAACAAAAGCTGTTTCGGCATGCGGTGGCTGGGCATGCGGGCTACATGACCCAGCCATCGCAGCCTTGCCTGCCGGAGGAGCTCACCGATGGGACCCTGCCCAGATCTTTCAAGGATTTGTGAGCTCCTCACACAATCCAGTCTGGTTAAACCCAGGATGGATCGTAGGCAGGTCAGCCTAAATGTTTCTAACCGGCGAAGATGTTCCATTAGGGGGGTCCACGTTTCGCAAGCGTAGAGAAGGGAGGGAATGACCGTGGCCGAGAAGACCTGAAGCTTAGTGCGGAGCGACAGACCAGGTAGCTTCCACACAGCGTTACGCAACCGATGAAAAGATATTGCCGCTCGACTGATTCGGAGTGAGACCTCTGCTGTTAAACTGGAGCCAGTCATAAGCACACTGCCCAGGTATGGGAAACTCTCCACTCTCTCCACAACTGCCCCATCACCGATTGGGAGTTGTGGGGGTGGAGTGTCCGATGGTACAAAATACCCAGGCACACACACACCCACACACACACACCCACACACTCACACACACACACTCACACACACACACTTACACACACACACACACACCCACTCACACACACTTACACACACACACACACACACCCACTCACACACACACTCACACACACACTCACACACACACACACTTACACACACACACTCACACACACACCCACTCACCGGTGTAGCCGTGTTGACATTCACACTCACACACACACTCACACACACACTCACACACACACACTCACTCACCGGTGTAGCCGTGATGACACACACACTCACACACTCACACACACACTCACACTCCCACACGCACACACTCACACCAACACACACTCACACACACCCACACTCACACACTCCCACACTCACACCCACTCACCGGTGTAGCCGTGTTGACACTCACACACACCCACTCACCGGTGTAGCCGTGTTGACACTCACACTCACCGGTGTAGCCGTGTTGACACTCACACTCACCGGTGTAGCCGTGATGACACTCACACACACACTCACACACTCACACCCACTCACCGGTGTAGCCGTGTTGACACACACACACACTCACCGGTGTAGCCGTGTTGACACTCACACACACACACCCACTCACCGGTGTAGCCGTGTTGACACTCACACTCACCCACTCACTCACACACACACACTCACACACACACTTACACACACACTCACCGGTGTAGCCGTGTTGACACACACACTTACCGGTGTAGCCGTGTTGACACACACACACACTCACCGGTGTAGCCGTGTTGACACTCACACTCACACACTCACTCACACACTCACACACACACTTACACACACACTCACCGGTGTAGCCGTGTTGACACTCACACTCACACACACACTCACACACACACACTCACCGGTGTAGCCGTGTTGACACTCACACACACACACTCACATACACCCACTCACCGGTGTAGCCGTGATGACACTCACACACTCACACACACACACACACCCACTCACCGGTGTAGCCGTGATGACACTCACACTCACACACACACACTCACCCCCACTCACCGGTGTAGCCGTGACGACACTCACACACACCCACACACTCACACACACACACACTTACTCACCGGTGTAGCCGTGACGACACTCACACTCACACACTTACTCACCGGTGTAGCCGTGACGACACTCACACTCACACACACACTCACACACACACACACTTACTCACCGGTGTAGCCGTGACGACACTCACACTCACACACTTACTCACCGGTGTAGCCGTGACGACACTCACACACTCACACACACTCACACACACTCACTCACCGGTGTAGCCGTGTTGACACACCCACACACTCACACACTCACACACACTTACTCACCGGTGTAGCCGTGATGACACTCACACTCACACACACACTCACACACACACACACTTACTCACCGGTGTAGCCGTGACGACACTCACACTCACACACACTCACACACTCACACACCCCCACTCACCGGTGTAGCCGTGACGACACTCACACTCACACACTTACTCACCGGTGTAGCCGTGACGACACTCACACTCACACACTCACACACTTACTCACCGGTGTAGCCGTGACGACACTCACACTCACACACTCACTCACACACACTCACACACACTCACACACACACACTTACTCACCGGTGTAGCCGTGACGACACTCACACTCGTACTCCCCGGGTGCCCTCGCCCTGCACCCGGTGGCACCGTGCGGGTGGCACGGGTTCCCCGCGCCACACGTGCCCAGCTCCGCCTGGCAGCGCCCGCCGGCGAACCCCGGCGGGCACTCGCACGAGAAGCCGCCCACGGCGTCCACACAGCGCCCGCCGTTGGCGCATCGCGGGGCCGGAGCCGACGACGAGGAGGAGGAGGAGGAGGAGGACGAGGAGGACGAGGAGGAGGACGAGGAGGAGGACGAGGAGGAGGACGAGGAGGGGGAGGCAGGAGCCGGTGCACAGTCGTCTGGGTTGATTTCGCAGTGGACGCCTGTTGGTAGTGGGGGGGGGGGGCGGTGGTGGGGGGGGTGGGGGGGGAGTGGTGGTGGGGGGGGGTGGGGGAGTGATCGGGCGGGCAGGTTACGTGGCCGGTCACACGGCAGGGCAGTGGTGTGACGGAGGGTGGGTGGGGATGGGTGGGTGGGGATGGTGGGTGGGGATGGTGGGTGGGGAGGGTAGGTGGGGATGGTGGGTGGGGAGGGTGGGTGGGGAGGTGAGGGTGGGGATGGTGGGTGGGGATGGTGGGTGGGGAGGGTGGGTGGGGAGGGTGGGTGGGGAGGGTGGGTGGGGAGGGTAGGTGGGGATGGTGGGTGGGGAGGGTGGGTGGGGAGGTGAGGGTGGGGATGGTGGGTGGGGAGGGTGGGTGGGGAGGGGAGGGAGGAGAGCGAGAGAGTGAAGGGAGCGGAGAGAGAGAGGAGGAGGAGGAGTAGGAGGGGTGGGTGGGTCCAGTGGCTACCCTCTGTGCCGGGTGGGCAGGAGCAGAGGTAGCGTCCGGGCAGGTCGAGGCAGCGTCCACCATGCTGGCACGGCTGGGAGCTGCACTCGTCCACCTGCTCCTCACAGTCCTTGCCCACGTATCCCAGAAGGCACTGCGGGCGGTGCATCGGGGTCACGTGACGGTTAGCGATGACCGACCCACTCACTTAGCAACTCACCCGCTCACCCACTCACCCACAAACTCATCCACTCACCCACAAGCTCACCCACTCACCCACAAGCTCACCCACAAACTCACCCACCTACTCACTAATCCACCTACTCACCGACAAACTCACCCACCTACTCACTCATCCACCCACTCACACATCCACTCACTAACTCACCGACCCACCCACCCATTCACCCATCAACACACTCACCCACCCATTCACCCACTCACTCATCCACTGACTCACTCACCGACCCACTCACTCACCGACCCACTCACCCACCCACCCACTCACCCACCCACCCACCCACCCACACACCCACCCACTAACCCACCCACCCACTCACCCACAAACTCACCCACTCACACACCCACCCACTCACCCACCCACTCACTCATCCACCCACCCACCCGCTCACCAACCCACCCCGCTCACCAACCAACCCACCCACTCACCCACTCACACACCCACCCACTCACCCACCCACCCACTCACCCACAAACTCACCCACCCACTCACCCACTCAAACACCCACCCACTCACCCACCCACTCATCCACCCACCCACCCCGCTCACCAACCAACCCACCCACTCATCCACCCACTCACAAACTCACCCGGAAACTCACTCACTCATCCACCCACCCACCCGCTCACTCATCCACCCGCCCCGCTCACCAACCCACCCACCCACTCACCCACTCATCCACCCACTCACAAACTCACCCGGAAACTCACTCACTCATCCACCCACCCACCCGCTCACTCATCCACCCGCCCGCTCACCAACCCACCCACCCACTCACCCACTCACTCATCCACCCACTCGCCCACTCACTCACTCACTCACCCACTCACTCATTCATCCACCCACTCACTCATTCACCCACTCACTCACCCACACACTCACTCACACACTCACTCACCCACTCACTCACCCACCCACTCACTCACCCACTCACTCACTCATCCACCCACTCACTCACCCACACACTCACTCACCCACTCACTCACCCACCCACTCACTCACGCACTCACTCACTCATCCACCCGCCCGCTCACCCGCCCGCTCACCCACCAACTCACCCACCCACCCACCAACTCACCCACCAACTCACCCACCCACTCACCCACCACCCCACCCACTCACCCACCCCACCCCCCTACCTCGCAGCGGTAGTTCCCCGTGAGGTCCACGCACGTGGCCCCGTTGAGGCACGGGCTCGAGCGGCACTCGTCCAAGGGCTCCTGGCAGTAGCTGCCGGTGTGGGTGGGCGGGCACTGACAGCGGTGGGTGCCGCCCACGTCCATGCAGCGCCCCCCGTGGCGACAAAGCCCCTCCACGCTCACGCCTTGGCGGAGAGGGAGGGGGGCGGGGAGAGCGGTGGGACAGCGGTTAGCGGCGGAGGGGCGTCGGGCGTTTTGAGGGGGGAGGGGGGACAAAGGTGGCTCCGGCGGGGAGTGGTGTTGCTGGACAACCACCATCATCATCACCATCATCACCACCATCACCATCACCACCACCACCATCATTATCACCACCATCATCACCACCATCACCACCATCACCACCACCATCATCACCATCATCACCACCATCATCATCACCACCATCACCACCACCATCATCACCACCACCATCATCACCACCACCACTATCATCACCACTATCATCACCATCATCACCACCATCATCATCACCATCACCACCATCACCACCATCACCACCACCATCACCACCATCATCACCATCATCACCATCATCACCACCACCATCATCACCACCATCACCACCACCATCACCATCACCACCACCACCACTATCATCACCATCATCACCACCATCACCACCATCACCACCATCATCACCACCACCATCATCACCACCATCATCACCACCACCACCATCATCACCATCATCACCATCATCACCACCATCACCACCATCACCACCATCACCATCATCACCACCATCACCACCATCACCACCACCACCATCATCACCACCACCACCATCACCACCACCATCACCATCACCACCACCATCACCACCATCACCACCATCATCACCACCACCATCATCATCACCACCATCATCACCACCACCACCATCATCACCATCATCACCATCATCACCACCATCACCACCATCACCATCATCACCACCACCACCATCACCACCATCACCACCATCACCACCACCATCACCACCATCACCACCACCATCACCATCATCACCACCACCACCATCACCACCACCATCACCACCACCATCATCATCACCACCATCATCACCACCACCACCATCATCACCATCATCACCATCATCACCACCATCACCATCATCACCACCACCACCATCACCACCATCACCACCATCACCACCACCATCACCACCATCACCACCACCATCACCATCATCACCACCACCACCATCACCACCACCATCACCATCACCACCACCATCACCACCCCCACTATCATCCTTGTGCTGTGCGCTGCTCCGCTAACAGCACTTGGCACTACCGACTGTTGGGGCTACACGGGGGATCTCTGTTTTTGGGGATGGGGGGGGCAGAGGAGGGAGGAGGGGCAGGGTGAGACATCGCCAGTGACCTACCCCGCCACCCCCCCACTCACCACTCACTCACCCACCCACTCACCCACTCACCACTCACCCACTCACTCACCCCCCCCCCCCCCACCCACTCACCCACTCTCTCACTCACCCACTCACTCAACACCCACTCACTCACCACTCACCCCCCACCCACCCACCCCCCCCACCCACCCACCCCCCACTCACCCTGAGCCGTGGCTGCGACACTGCACGGCACGCTGGACATGTCACAGTAGCGGCCGCTCCACCCGCTCACTCACCCCCCCACTCACCCCCCCACCCACCCCCCCACTAACCCCCCCACTCACCCACTCACCCCCCCCCACTCACCCTGAGCCGTGGCTGCGACACTGCACGGCACGCTAGGGATGTCACAGTAGCGACCGCTCCACCCGCTCAGGCACCGGCAGTGGAATTCGGTGCCAGCCTGCGAGCAGCTGGCACCTTGGCGGCAGGGGTCCAGGGCGCACCAATCCACCAGCTCCTGAGCTCACCGACGGAGGTCGTGGGGCATCCGCATCACACACGTCCACAAACTCACTCACCAACTCACTCATACACTCACTCACTCATACACTCACTCACCCACCCCTTCACCAACTCACCCACTCACCCACCAACTCACTCACTCACTCAGCCACTCACTCACAAACCCACAAACTCACCCACCAACTCACCCACTCACCCACCAACTGACTCACTCACCCACTCACTCACAAACCCACAAACTCACCCACCAACTCACCCACTCACTCACCAACTCACTCACTCACCCACTCACTCACAAACCCACAAACTCACCCACCAACTCACCCACTCACTCACCAACTCACTCACCAACTCACTCACTCACCCACCAACTCACCCACCCACCAACTCACTCATACACCCACCAACTCACTCACTCACTCATACACTCACTCACCCACCCCTTCACCAACTCACCCACTCACTCACAAACCCACAAACTCACCCACCAACTCACCCGCTCACTCACCAACTCACTCACCAACTCACTCACTCACCCACCAACTCACCCACCCACCAACTCACTCATACACCCACCAACTCACTCACTCACTCATACACTCACTCACCCACCCCTTCACCAACTCACCCACTCACTCACAAACCCACAAACTCACCCACCAACTCACCCACTCACTCACCAACTCACTCACCCACCAACTCACCCACCCACCAACTCACTCATACACCCACCAACTCACTCACTCATACACTCACTCACCCACCCCTTCACCAACTCACCCACTCACTCACCCACCAACTCACCCATCCACCAACTCACTCACTCACCCACCAACTCACCCACCAACTCACCAACCCACTCACTCACTCCTTCACCAACTCACTCACTCACTCATACACCCACCCATCAACTCATCCACCAACCCACTCACTCACTCACCCACTAACCCACCCACTCACTCACATACCCACCCTCTCACTCACTCACCCACTTACCCACCAACTCACCCACCCACTCACTCACTCACACACCCACCCACCCACTCACTCACTCACCCACCCACTCACCCACCCACCAACTCACCCACCCACCAACTCACCCACTCACCCACTCACCCACCCACCCACCCACTTACCCACCCACCCACCCACTCACCCCCCCCACCAACCCACCCCCCAACCCACCCACCCACCTGACAGTCGACCCCCGTGTAGCTGTAGGGACACACACACTCACCCACCCACCCACCCACTCACCCCCCCACCCACCCACCCACCTGACAGTCCACCCCCGTGTAGCTGTAGGGACACACACACTCACCCACCCACTCACCCCCCCCACCAACCCACCCACCCACCCACCTGACAGTCCACCCCCGTGTAGCTGTAGGGACACACACACTCACCCACCCACCCACCCACTCACCCCCCCACCAACCCACCCACCAACCCACCCACCCACCCACCTGACAGTCGACCCCCGTGTAGCTGTAGGGGCACACACACTCACCCACCCACCCCCCCACCCACCCACCCACCTGACAGTCGACCCCCGTGTAGCTGTAGGGACACACACACTCACACACCCACCCATCCACACACCCACCCACCCACCTGACAGTCCACCCCCGTGTAGCTGTAGGGACACACACACTCACCCACCCACTCACACACCCACCCACCACCCACCACCCACCTGACAGTCCACCCCCGTGTAGCTGTAGGGGCACACACACTCACCCACCCACTCACACACCCACCCACCCACCCACCAACCCCCCCACCAACCCACCCACCCACCTGACAGTCCACCCCCGTGTAGCTGTAGGGACACACACACTCACCCACCCACCACCCACCTGACAGTCGACCCCCGTGTAGCTGTAGGGACACACACACTCACCCACCCACTCACCCACTCACACACCCACCCACCACCCACCTGACAGTCCACCCCCGTGTAGCTGTAGGGACACACACACCCACCCACCACCCACCACCCACCTGACAGTCCACCCCCGTGTAGCTGTAGGGACACACACACTCACCCACCCACCACCCACCTGACAGTCCACCCCCGTGTAGCTGTAGGGACACACACACTCACCCACTCACACACACACTCACCCACCCACCACCCACCTGACAGTCCACCCCCGTGTAGCTGTAGGGACACACACACTCACCCACCCACCCACCCACTCACCCACTCACCAACCCACTCACCCACCTGACAGTCCACCCCCGTGTAGCTGTAGGGACACACACACTCACCCACCCACCCACTCACCCACTCACCAACCCACTCACCCACCTGACAGTCCACCCCCGTGTAGCTGTAGGGACACACACACTCACACACTCACACACACACTCACCCACCCACCACCCACCTGACAGTCCACCCCCGTGTAGCTGTAGGGACACACACACTTGTGCGTGCCCAGGCTGTCCACGCACGTGCCGCCGTGGTGGCACGGCGCCGACTCGCACTCGTTCACCTCGTGCTGGCAGTGGTCGCCCCAGAAGCCGTAGCGGCAGTGGCACGTGTACGCGTTCACGCCCTCCGAGCACGTGCCCCCGTTAAAGCACGAGCTGCGATTGGTGGAGGGTGGTGGTGGTGGTGGTGGAGGGTAACACAGTTAATAAGAAAATGATGAAGACGCACTTCTATGGGGGAGTTAGCGTGGCATTTCTGTCCTAAACGTGCACCCCAAACCTGTCCCATCCCACCCACCACAGCTTCTGTGTATACGCAAAGATGTCCTGTTTTTGAGCTGCCGCAAGATGAGCTACCACTCTCTTTCTGGCCCCTCCCCACCAACACCTCATTTACTATTCAAGCTGCTGTTCATCCCTCTCTCACTCTCTCTGTCCGTCTTTCCTACTGCCCAACCTTATTTACTATTTAAGCTTCTGTTAATCCCTCTCTCTCTCTCTCTCCATTGCCTCTCTCTCTGTCCGTCTTTCCTACTGACCAACTTTATTTACTATTTCAGCTGCTGTTCATCCCTCTCTCTCTCTGTCCGTCTTTCCTACTGACCAACCTTATTTACTATTTAAGCTGCTGTTCATCTCTCTCTCTCTCCATTGCCTCTCTCTGTCCGTCTGTCCGACTGACCAACCTTTTTACTATTTAAGCTGCTGTTCATCACTCTCCATTGCCTCTCTCTGTCCGTCTGTCCTACTGACCAACTTTATTTACTATTTAAGCTGCTGTTCATCCCTCTCTCTCTCTCACTCTCTCCATTGCCTCTCTCTGTCCGTCTTTCCTACTGACCAACCTTATTTACTACTCAAGCTGCTGTTCATCTCTCTCTCTCTCTGTCCGTCTTTCCTACTGACCAACCTTATTTACTATTTAAGCTGCTGTTCATCCCTCTCTCTCTCTCTGTCCGTCTTTCCTACTGACCGTGTACCTCGTATTTTCACTCCGTCTGTGCTGGTTTTTTTTTCTTTGCAATGCAGAAGTTGAACACGAAATGCAACGCTCTTCTGAAATTCGTGGTCCGCCAGGAAGTGTCTTAGCTGTGCATGTCAGGCCTGACTAGTTGTGCCTTCACGTAATGTTTTTGTCAGGATTTGTTGAATTCCCGTCTCTCAATTCTTTTTTTCGTGGCATTCACCTCCGCGATTTGTTCTCGACACCTGACGAAGGTCGCCCGCGTTGTGATCGAAACGTCAGATCGTTTTTTCGTTTCAACGTAAGCTTATTGTATTCCTACGTGCGTGACTTTACCGAAAACATAAACAGACCAATGAGCAATGATGCACGCCTTTTGGCGTCTTCTGGTCCAACACCAGTGGAGACTAAAGGGGGCTCTAAAGAAAGCTGTTTCGGGTGTGGACCAATCAAATTCAAGGACAGTGCCAATATTATTATTATCAGAGTTGTCTCTTTTTTGTTTGCATTTTGACTGCTTGTGTTGTGGTTATTGCAAACACGATGCCTTGAGTAAAATGTGTCAGTTTTTGTGCCAGTTTTCCTGACTGCGAGGATTCATCTTCTTTGGTTCTTTCGGTAAAGTCACCACCGCGTAGAATGAGTATAGAATAACAAATTGATCAAATAAAATAACGCAATAATATTCTCACGACGTTTCGGCCACAACACAAGCGGCCTTCATCAGGTGAAGGGACGAGACTGTCTGGAGGACAGCGCTGGAGTGAAAAAGCCACAAGCTCAGATCGCGACCTTTAAGCTGTGTGAGAAGAAACAAAGCGCCTTGACAAAGGAATTAGCATATAATTTAGCATTGAAATGGCTGAGTGATTAGCTTGTGACTGGTCACAGAAATGGCTGTGTTAAAGTTAAAGCGTACACATCCGCAGAGGCACCCCTTGACAAAGGAAATAGCATAAAATTTAGCATTGAAATAGCTAATTTAAAGCAAGGGGTGCCTCTGCGGATGTGTATGCTTTAACTTAGCTATTTCAATGCTAAATTCTATGCTAATTCCTTTGTCAAGGGGTGCCTCTGCGGATGTGTATACTTTAACTTAGCTATTTCAATGCTAAATTCTATGCTAATTCCTTTGTCAAGGGGTGTCTCTGCGGATGTGTATGCTTTAACTTAGCTATTTCAATGCTAAATTCTATGCTAATTCCTATGTCAAGGGGTGCCTCTGCGGATGTATATGCTTTAACTTAGCTATTTCAATGCTAAATTCTAGGCTAATTCCTTTGTCAAGGGGTGCCTCTGCGGATGTGTATGCTTTAACTTAGCTATTTCAATGCTAAATTCTATGCTAATTCCTTTGTCAAGGGGTGCCTCTGCGGATGTGTATACTTTAACTTTAACATAGCCATTTCTGTGACCAGTCACAAGCTAATCACTCAGCCATTTCAATGCTAAATTCTATGCTAATTCCTTTGTCAAGGGGTGCCTCTGCGGATGTGTATGCTTTAACTTTAACATAGCCATTTCTGTGACCAGTCACAAGCTAATCACTCAGCCATTTCAATGCTAAATTCTATGCTAATTCCTTTGTCAAGGGGTGCCTCTGCAGATGTGTATACTTTAACTTAGGTATTTCAATGCTAAATTCTATGCTAATTCCTTTGTCAAGGGGTGCCTCTGCGGATGTGTATGCTTTAACTTAAACATAGCCATTTCTGTGACCAGTCACAAGCTAATTACTCACCCATTTCAATGCTAAATTCTCCTGTATGATATGTACTAGGTGCCTCTGCGGATGTGTATACTTTAACTTAGCTATTTCAATGAGCCATTTCAATGCTAAATTCTATGCTAATTCCTTTGTCAAGGCGCTGTGTTTCCTCTCACACGGCTTAAAGGTCGCGATCTGAGCTTGTGGCTTTGTTCACTCCGGCGCTGTCCCACCAGACAGTCTCGTCCCCCTTCACCTGATGGAGGCCGCTTGTGCTGTGGCCGAAACGTCGTGAGAGTAACTACCGCGTTACTTTAATTTCATCAATTCACCACCCAGTTCTCATGCGGCGGCGGCGGCGGTGACTTTTACCGAAAGAACCAAATGAGCAAAAAATAAAAAATAAAAAACCACAAACGCGTTTTTTTGGCGTGCGTTTCCACCGTTGCCGCGCGGCTTCTCTTGGTCGGAAGCCGGTACCTCTCGGTGCAGTCGGGAACGTCGGCCTCACAGCGTCCGCCGGTGTAGCCGGCGGGGCAGTCGCACGTGTAGCTGCCCGCGTTGGCGAGGCACGTGCCCCCGTGCGAGCAGGGCTCGCTCGCGCACGCGCCAGCCGCCGCCGCCTCCTCCTCGAGGAGCTCGCAGCGGGCGCCCGCGAAGCCGGCGAGGCAGCGGCACTCGAAGGCGGCCGCCGAGTCGCCGCACGTGCCGCCGTTGAGGCAAGGGTCTGGTGGGTGTGGTGGGTGGGTGGTGGTGGTGGGTGGTAGTTGGTGGTGGTGGGGAGGTGGTGGTGGTGGTGGTGGTGGTGGGGGGGGAGAGACAATCACTACCTGGGGGAGCTGTGCCTCACCGGGCAGACACTCGTCCACAGCACTTGCCCCTTCACCCCGTTGCGAGGCTACCTGGGGGAGCTGTGCCTCACCGGACAGACACTCGTCCACAGCACTTGCCCCTTCACCGCGAGGCTACCTGGGGGAGCTGTGCCTCACCGGACAGACACTCGTCCACAGCACTTGCCCCTTCACCGCGAGGCTACCTGGGGGAGCTGTGCCTCACCGGACAGACACTCGTCCACAGCACTTGCCCCTTCACCCCATTCCAGCACTTGACCCTTCACCGCGAGGCTAACTGGTGGAGCTGTGCCTCACCGGGCAGACACTCGCCCACAGCACTTGCCCCTTCACCCCGTTGCGAGGCTACCTGGGGGAGCTGTGTCTCACCGGACAGACACTCGCCCACAGCACTTGCCCCTTCACCGCGAGGCTATCTGGGGCAGCTGTGCCTCACCGGACAGACACTCGCCCACAGCACTTGCCCCTTCACCGCGAGGCTACCTGGGGGAGCTGTGCCTCACCGGACAGACACTCGTCCACGTCGTGTTGGCAGTGCCCCCCGGTGAACCCCGGGGGGCACGTGCAGTGGAAGCTGCCGGCCGAGTTGGTGCAGGTGGCGCCGTGGCGGCAAGGGCTCGCCACACACTCGTCCACGTCCACCGAGCACACGCCGCCTGCCGGGGGAGGGGGGGCGGGGGGGGGGGCACGGGTGCGGGGTGGAGGGGGGCACGGGTGCGGGGTGGAGGGGGGCACGGGTGCGGGGTGGAGGGGGGGCACGGGTGCGGGGTGGAGGGGGAGGGAGAGGGCAGGGGGGGGGTGAGCGTTGGCGGGATGAGCGTCACGGGGGTTGGTGAGTGTTGGGGGTGGGGGGTGGGGGGGGGGTGAGGGTCGTCCCTGGTGAGCGTCATCAGTGGTGAGCGTCGTGCCCTGGTGAGTGACGTGCGTGGTGAGCGTCGTGTGGTGGTGAGCGTGGTCCCTGGTGAGCGTCGTCCGTGGTGGTGAGCGTGGTCCCTGGTGAGCGTCGTGTGGTGGTGAGCGTGGTCCCTGGTGAGCGTCACCAGTGGTGGTGAGTGTCACCAGTGGTGGTGAGCGTGGTCCCTGGTGAGCGTCGTGTGGTGGTGAGCGTGGTCCCTGGTGAGCGTCACCAGTGGTGGTGAGTGTCACCAGTGGTGGTGAGCGTGGTCCCTGGTGAGCGTCGTCCGTGGTGAGCGTCACCAGTGGTGAGCGTCACCAGTGGTGGTGAGCGTCACCAGTGGTGGTGAGCGTCACCAGTGGTGGTGAGCGTTGTGAAGTGGTGAGCGTCACCAGTGGTGGTGAGCGTCACCAGTGGTGGTGAGTGTCACCAGTGGTGGTGAGCGTGGTCCCTGGTGAGCGTCACCAGTGGTGAGCGTCACCAGTGGTGGTGAGCGTCACCAGTGGTGGTGAGCGTTGTGAAGTGGTGAGCGTCACCAGTGGTGAGCGTCACCAGTGGTGGTGAGCGTCACCAGTGGTGGTGAGCGTCACCAGTGGTGGTGAGCGTCACCAGTGGTGGTGAGCGTCACCAGTGGTGGTGAGTGTCACCAGTAGTGAGCGTTGTGAAGTGGTGGTGAGCGTTGTGAAGTGGTGAGCGTCACCAGTGGTGGTGAGCGTCACCAGTGGTGGTGAGCGTTGTGAAGTGATGGTGAGCGTTGTGAAGTGATGGTGAGCGTCACCAGTGGTGAGCGTCACCAGTGGTGGTGAGCGTTGTGAAGTGATGGTGAGCGTCACCAGTGGTGGTGAGCGTTGTGAAGAAGTGGTGAGCGTTGTGAAGTGGTGAGCGTCACCAGTGGTGGTGAGTGTCACCAGTGGTGAGCGTTGTGAAGAAGTGGTGAGCGTCACGTGGTCACCTTGCCAGCCCTGTGGGCACTGGCAGTGGAAGTCCGTGAAGGCGTCCACCTCCACACAGCGGGCGCCATGCTGGCAAGGCCGCGACGCGCACGGAGCCAGCAGCAGCTCACACGACGCTCCTGCGGGGTCGCGGGGGGGGTCACGGGGTCAGTGGGTCACGGGGTCAGTGGGTCACGGGGTCAGTGGGTCACGGGGACAGTGGGTCACGTGGTTAGTGAGTCACGTGGTTAGTGGGTCACGGGGACAGTGGGTCACGTGGTTAGTGAGTCACGTGGTTAGTGGGTCACGGGGACAGTGGGTCACGTGGTTAGTGGGTGACGGGGTCAGTGGGTCACGTGATTAGTGGGTCACGGGGTCAGTGGGTCACGTGTGTCGGTGGGTCATATGGTCAGTGGGTCACGGGTCAGTGGGTCACATGGTTAGAGGGTCACATTATCAGCGGGTCACGGGGTCAGCGGGTCACGTGTTTAGTGGGTCACGGGGTCAGTGGGTCACGGGGTCAGTGGGTCACGGGGTCAGTGGGTCGTACCGGCGTAGGGCGGCTCGCAGTGGCAGGCGTAGCGGTTGAGAGCGTCCAGGCAGGTGCCACCATTGAGGCACGGCGCGGAAGCACATTCATCCACGTCTCTCTCACAGAGCTCGCCTGCAGCACACACACACACACCGTGTACACACACACACACACCGTGTACACACACACACCGTGTACACACACACACACCGTGTACACACACACACCGTGTACACACACACACACCGTGTAGACACACACACACACACCGTGTACACACACACACACACCGTGTACACACACACACCGTGTAGACACACACACACCGTGTACACACCACACACACACACACACACCGTGTAGACACACACACACACACACACCGTGTACACACCACACACACACACCGTGTAGACACCACACACACACACCGTGTAGACACACACACACACACCGTGTACACACCACACACACACCGTGTAGACACCACACACACACACCGTGTAGACACACACACACCGTGTAGACACCACACACACACACACCGTGTAGACACACACACACACCGTGTAGACACACACACACTGTGTAGACACTACACACACACACCGTGTAGACACTACACACACACACACACCGTGTAGACACCACACACACACACCGTGTACACACTACACACACACCGTGTAGACACACACACACACACCGTGTAGACACACACACACACACCGTGTAGACACACACACACACACCGTGTAGACACCACACACACACACACACCGTGTAGACACACACACACACACCGTGTAGACACTACACACACACACACCGTGTAGACACACACACACACACTGTGTAGACACACACACACACCGTGTAGACACACACACACACCGTGTAGACACCACACACACACACACACCGTGTAGACACACACACACACACACCGTGTAGACACTACACACACACACACCGTGTAGACACCACACACACATACACCGTGTAGACACCACACACACCGTGTAGACACTACACACACACACACACCGTGTAGACACACACACACACACCGTGTAGACACCACACACACACACCGTGTAGACACCACACACACACACACACCGTGTAGACACTACACACACACACACCGTGTAGACACACACACACACACACACCGTGTACACACCACACACACACACCGTGTAGACACCACACACACACACACCGTGTAGACACCACACACACACACCGTGTAGACACCACACACACACACACCGTGTAGACACACACACACACCGTGTAGACACCACACACACACACCGTGTACACACACACACACCGTGTAGACACCACACACACACACACACCGTGTAGACACACACACACACACCGTGTAGACAACACACACACACACACACCGTGTAGACACACACACACACCGTGTAGACACTACACACACACACACCGTGTAGACACCACACACACACACCGTGTAGACACCACACACACACACCGTGTACACACACACACACACCGTGTAGACAACACACACACACACACACCGTGTAGACACCACACACACACACACCGTGTAGACAACACACACACACCGTGTAGACACCACACACACACACACCGTGTAGACACACACACACACCGTGTAGACACCACACACACACACACCGTGTAGACACACACACACACACCGTGTAGACACACACACACACACCGTGTAGACACCACACACACACACCGTGTAGACACCACACACACACACACACCGTGTAGACACCACACACACACACACCGTGTAGACACACACACACACACCGTGTAGACACTACACACACACACACCGTGTAGACACCACACACACACACCGTGTAGACACCACACACACACACCGTGTACACACACACACACACCGTGTAGACACACACACACACACCGTGTAGACACCACACACACACACCGTGTAGACACCACACACACACACCGTGTAGACACCACACACACACACACCGTGTAGACACACACACACACCGTGTAGACACCACACACACACACCGTGTACACACACACACACCGTGTAGACACCACACACACACACACACCGTGTAGACACACACACACACACCGTGTAGACAACACACACACACACACACCGTGTAGACACACACACACACACCGTGTAGACACTACACACACACACACCGTGTAGACACCACACACACACACCGTGTAGACACCACACACACACACCGTGTACACACACACACACACCGTGTAGACAACACACACACACACACACCGTGTAGACACCACACACACACACACCGTGTAGACAACACACACACACCGTGTAGACACCACACACACACACACCGTGTAGACACACACACACACACACCGTGTAGACACACACACACACACCGTGTAGACACCACACACACACACCGTGTAGACACCACACACACACACACACCGTGTAGACACCACACACACACACACCGTGTAGACAACACACACACACCGTGTAGACACCACACACACACACACCGTGTAGACACACACACACACACCGTGTAGACACACACACACACCCACCGTGTAGACACCACACACACACACCGTGTAGACACACACACACACACACCGTGTAGACAACACACACACACACCGTGTAGACAACACACACACACACCGTGTAGACACCACACACACACACCGTGTAGACACACACACACACCGTGTAGACACCACACACACACACACCGTGTAGACACACACACACACACCGTGTAGACAACACACACACACACCGTGTACACACCACACACACACACACCGTGTAGACACTACACACACACACACCGTGTAGACACACACACACACACACACCGTGTAGACACTACACACACACACACCGTGTAGACACACACACACACACCGTGTAGACACCACACACACACACCGTGTAGACACCACACACACACACACACCGTGTAGACACACACACACACACCGTGTAGACAACACACACACACACACCGTGTAGACACACACACACACACACCGTGTAGACACACACACACACAGTGTAGACTCTACACACACACACACACCGTGTAGACACCACACACACACACAGTGTAGACACCACACACACACACCGTGTAGACACTACACACACACACACACCGTGTACACACCACACACACACACAGTGTAGACACTACACACACACACACCGTGTAGACACTACACACACACACACACCGTGTAGACAAACACACACACACCGTGTAGACACACACACACACCGTGTAGACACACACACACACCGTGTAGACACACACACACACACCGTGTAGACAACACACACACACCGTGTAGACACCACACACACACACACACCGTGTAGACACACACACACCGTGTAGACACCACACACACACACACCGTGTAGACACCACACACACACACCGTGTAGACACTACACACACACACACACCGTGTAGACACACACACACACACCGTGTAGACACACACACACACCGTGTACACACCACACACACACACCGTGTAGACACTACACACACACACACACCGTGTAGACACACACACACACACACTGTGTAGACACACACACACACACCGTGTAGACACTACACACACACACACTGTGTAGACACACACACACACACACCGTGTAGACACACACACACACACACTGTGTAGACACACACACACACACACCGTGTAGACACTACACACACACACACCGTGTAGACACACACACACACCGTGTAGACACCACACACACACACCGTGTAGACACCACACACACACACACCGTGTAGACACACACACACACACACCGTGTAGACAACACACACCGTGTAGACACACACACACACACCGTGTAGACACACACACACACACAGTGTAGACTCTACACACACACACACACCGTGTAGACACCACACACACACACACAGTGTAGACACCACACACACACCGTGTAGACACTACACACACACACCGTGTACACACCACACACACACAGTGTAGACACTACACACACACACACCGTGTAGACACTACACACACACACCGTGTAGACACACACACACACACCGTGTAGACACACACACACACCGTGTAGACACACACACACACACCGTGTAGACAACACACACACCGTGTAGACACCACACACACACACACACCGTGTAGACACACACACACACACCGTGTAGACACCACACACACACACACCGTGTAGACACTACACACACACACACACCGTGTAGACACACACACACACACCGTGTAGACACACACACACACCGTGTACACACCACACACACACACCGTGTAGACACTACACACACACACACACCGTGTAGACACACACACACACACTGTGTAGACACACACACACACCGTGTAGACACTACACACACACACACTGTGTAGACACACACACACACACCGTGTAGACACACACACACACTGTGTAGACACACACACACACACCGTGTAGACACCACACACACACACACACCGTGTAGACACCACACACACACACACACCGTGTAGACACTACACACACACACACACCGTGTACACACCACACACACACAGTGTAGACACTACACACACACACCGTGTAGACACACACACACACACCGTGTAGACACACACACACACACCGTGTAGACACCACACACACACACCGTGTAGACACACACACACACACCGTGTAGACACCACACACACACACACCGTGTAGACACACACACACACACACCGTGTAGACACCACACACACACACACACACCGTGTAGACACACACACACACCGTGTACACACCACACACACACACACCGTGTACACACCACACACACACACACCGTGTAGACACTACACACACACACACACCGTGTAGACACACACACACTGTGTAGACACACACACACACACACACCGTGTAGACACTACACACACACACTGTGTAGACACACACACACACCGTGTAGACACACACACACACACTGTGTAGACACACACACACACACCGTGTAGACACACACACACACACCGTGTAGACACCACACACACACACCGTGTAGACACCACACACACACACACCGTGTAGACACTACACACACACACACCGTGTAGACACACACACACAGTGTAGACACCACACACACACCGTGTAGACACTACACACACACACACCGTGTAGACACCACACACACACACCGTGTAGACACACACACACACACCGTGTAGACACCACACACACACACACCGTGTAGACACCACACACACACACACCGTGTAGACACACACACACACACTGTGTAGACACCACACACACACACACACCGTGTAGACACCACACACACACACACCGTGTAGACACCACACACACACCGTGTAGACACACACACACACACTGTGTAGACACCACACACACACACACACCGTGTAGACACCACACACACACACACCGTGAAGACACCACACACACACACCGTGTAGACACCACACACACCGTGAAGACACCACACACACACACACACCGTGTAGACACACACACACACACACCGTGTAGACACCACACACACACATCGTGTAGACACTACACACACACAGTGTAGACACCACACACACACACACCGTGTAGACACCACACACACACACACCGTGAAGACACCACACACACACACACCGTGTAGACACCACACACACCGTGTAGACACCACACACACACACCGTATAGACACCACTCACACACACACACCGTGTAGACACCACACTCACACACACCATGTAGACACCACACACACGCACACACACGGCGTAGCCTCGAACACCACCACACTCACACACACCATGTAGACACCACACACACGCACACACACGGTGTAGCCTCGAACACCACCACACACACACCGTGTAGACACCACAGACACACACACCGTGTAGACACACACACACACACCGTGTAGACACTACACACACACACCGTGTAGACACTACACACACACACCATGTAGACACCACACACACGCACACACACGGTGTAGCCTCGAACACCACCACACTCACACACACACACGGTGTAGCCTCGAACACCACCACACTCACACACACACCGTGTAGACACCACACACACACACACCGTGTAGACACCACACACACTCACACACCGTGTAGACACACACACACACACCGTGTAGACACCACACACACACACACACCGTGTAGACACACACACACACACCGTGTAGACACACACACACACCGTGTAGACACCACACACACACCGTGTAGACACACACACTCACACACGCACACACACGGTGTAGCCTCGAACACCACCACACTCACACACACACCGTGTAGACACCACACACACACACACCGTGTAGACACCACACACCGTGTAGCCTCTAACAGGCTGTACGAGCACGTGCCCTTAGCAGCGAGCAGCAGCAGCAGCAGCAGCAGGACCCACTACGAGTTCGGCGAACCGTCGCCTCAAAGCTCTGGCGACCTGCACGTGGCTCGGCCCCACTCACCGGCGAATCCCGCCTGGCAGGAGCAGGCGAAGGCGTTGTCGAGGTCCCGGCACGTGCCTCCGTTGCGGCACGGGTTCGACTGGCACTCGTTGATCTCCGCGCCACAGTGGCGCCCGGTCCAACCGGCGTGGCACAGGCACTGGTAGCTGGCGCGGGCACGCGCAGAGACAAGGGGGCAAGTGCTGTCGGTAGCGAGTAGCAGCAGCAACACACACAAAGACAAAGGTCGCCCGTGTAGCCTCTAACAGGCTGCTGGGGCAAGTGCTGTCAGTAGTGAGCAGCGCCGCCTACGAAGGCTGGTACGTGCGTCGCACGGACAAAGCTCCCCCGGGTAGCCTCTAACAGGCTGCTGGGGCAAGTGCTGTAAGCAGCGAGCAGGCACCGCCTACGAAGGCTGGCACGTGCGTCACACGGACAAAGGTCCCCCGGGTAGCCTCTAACAGGCTGTAGGGGCAAGTGCCGTGAGCAGCGAGTAGCAGCAACACACACATAGACAAAGGTCGCCCGTGTAGCCTCTAACAGGCTGCTGGGGCAAGTGCTGTAAGCAGCGAGCAGGCACCACCTACGAAGGCTGGCACGTCCGTCGCACGGACAAAGGTCCCCCGGGTAGCCTCCAACAGACTGCAGGGGCAAGTGCTGTTAGCGAGGAGCACCACCTATGAAGTCTGGCACTGCGTCACACAGACAAAGGTCCCCCGTGTAGCCTCTAACAGGCTGCTGGGGCAAGTGCTGTCAGTAGTGAGCAGGCACTGCCTACGAAGGCTGGCACGTGTGTCACATAGACAAAGGTCGCCCGTGTAGCCTCTAACAGGCTGTTGGGGCAAGTGTTGTGAGCAGCGAGTAGCAGCAACACACACACAGACAAAGGTCCCCCGGGTAGCCTCTAACAGACTGCAGGGGCAAGTGCTGTAAGCAGCGAGCAGGCACCGCCTATGAAGGCTGGCACGTGCGTCGCACGGACAAAGGTCCCCCGGGTAGCCTCTAACAGGCTGTAGGGGCAAGTGCTGTGAGCAGCAAGTAGCAGCAACACACACAAAGACAAAGCTCCCCCGTGTAGCTTCTAACAGGCTGCTGGGGCAAGTGCTGTCAGTAGTGAGCAGCACCGCCTACGAAGGCTGGCACGTGCGTCACACAGACAAAGGTCCCCGTGTAGCCTCTAACAGGCTGTAGGGGCAAGTGCTGTCAGCAGCAGCAGCAGCAGCGCCACCTACGCAGGCCGGCACTGTTGGCACACGAGGGGGTGGGGTGGCCAGCACCACGCCCGGCCGCCTTTGTCTCCCCCAATTAGCGATGTTCACTACGCTGCGCCAGGTTTACTCATTTGAGGCCGAGTCTACCTAGGGGAGGCCCAGCAGCGGCTCAGACTATCGTCGCTGGCTCTTAGTGGCCGTGGGCGGCCAGCAACCCATGCCAGGCACAGTCACCCCAACTCACCCCCCCACAACTCACTCACCCGTTGAGCGCGTCGCAACACGTGCCCCTGCAGGCACGGGTTGCTCGTGCCAGGCAGAGTCACCCCAACTCCCCCAACTCACTCATCCGTTGAGCGCGTCGCAACACGTGCCCTGCAGGCACGGGTTGCTCGTGCCAGGCACAGTCACCCCAACTCACCCCCCACCCCCCAACTCACCCGTTGAGCGCGTCGCAACACGTGCCCCTGCAGGCACGGGTTGCTCGTGCCAGGCAGAGTCACCCCAACTCCCCCAACTCACTCACCCGTTGAGCGTGTCACGGCACGTGCCCTGCAGGCACGGGTTGCTCGTGCCAGGCACAGTCACCCCAACTCACCCCCCCCCCAACTCACTCACCCGTTGAGCGCGTCGCAACCCGTGCCCTGCAGGCACGGGTTGCTCGTGCCAGGCACAGTCACCCCAACTCACCCTCCCCCCAACTCACTCACCCGTTGAGCGCGTCGCAACACGTGCCCTGCAGGCACGGGTTGCTCGTGCCAGGCACAGTCACCCCAACTCCCCCAACTCACTCACCCGTTGAGCGCGTCACGGCACGTGCCCCTGCAGGCACGGGTTGCTCGTGCCAGGCACAGTCACCCCAACTCACCCTCCCCCCCAACTCACCCGTTGAGCGCGTCGCGGCACGTGCCCTGCAGGCACGGGTTGCTCGTGCACTCGTCCACCTGAGCCAGGCACGTGGTGCCGCCGTAGCCCCCGGGGCAGTCACAGCGGAAGCCCCCAGGGAGGTTGTGGCAGGCGGCGCCGTTGTGGCAGGGAGACGAGGAGCACTCGTCCCTGTCGGTCTCGCAGCGTGGGCCTGGGGTGGTGGGGGGGTGGTGGTGGTGGTGGGGGGGTGGTGGTGGGGGGGTGGTGGTGGTGGGGGGGGGAGGAGACGCGGGGTGTACTCATTTGAGGCCGAGTCGACCTAGAGGAGGAGGCCCAGGACCGGTTCAGGTGTTCACCACTACGTCTTGCCAAAGACAAAGATCGCCCGTGCAGCCTTCGCGGACTGTTTGGGGGCAAGTGTTGTCAGCGAGCACCATTCACATACACACACACATACACACATAC